GTTTTTTGTGAAATTGATTTTCGTTCGTCCTTATTATTCTCACTTTTAACATTATTTTTAATATTATCACTACTGTTATCATTATCTAAACTTTTAATATTTAATGGTTCTATTGATGTTGATGTTACTGTTTTTATGATTGGAACGGCTGATGTTGATTTGGTAACTACTGTCGGTATTGCTATATTGTTACTTTGCTCTGTCACATCTATTGTAGTAGAATTTGAAATTGATTTAAAATTATCTGCTTTTTCAATATGTTGTGGTATTGATTCTACATTATTATTAAGAATATTTGATGATAATATTGTTGTTGGTGGTATTGTTGTTGTAAACATTAAAGGTTTTGTTGGTTTTTCTATAATTGTTGGTAATGTTTTATTATTTATTGTATTTATTGATTTTAATGATGATAATATTTGTGTTGTAGTCATCAGTGGTTCTTTAATATCTGATAAACGGCTTATATTTCTATTGGTCATTATTGTAGAAGTTAAAAATTTCGATGGCTGTGTTATTGCGGTAGCTGGTGTTTTCGTAGCCATTTGAGTCGTTATTTCTTTTTCCTCTTCTCCACTTGTTGGTTCCGATGTAAATATTTTCTTTATTGTTGTTGTATCACTTATTTTAGTAGGTTGCGATATTTGTTTTGTTAGTTTTGGTAAACTGGTTGTTGGCTCTTTTGGTTTTAATATAATTTTTTCACTTAAATTATTAATTTGTGCTGTAGATGATATGGTTTGTGGTAATGTTACTATTGGTATTAAAAATTCTTTAGTACTATTATCATCGACATTGACTATATTAATTAAACTATCATTAATTTTAATAGAATCCCTATGATTATTATTGGCCTCAATTTCCACTTGAGATTTATTTGCTATTATATCTAAATTAATTTTTGTATGGTTTTTTCTATTCATCAGCTCAATATTATTTGTGGATGTTGCATTTTGGCAATATCCATTATAAAAAATTGTATCAGCACTAATGAAAATCACAAAAACTATTGTTAAACAATTTTGCATTTTGTAGATATTGAAAAAATTTTCTTATTATTACTTATTTCCCTTATTAATGACATATAAACGGTAATTGTGTATATGTGCTTTCAGTATTAAATATTAAAGCAAAATTTTTGTAAATTATAATCTTTGTTCAATGCTGCTACTTTTTGCTTGATTGTTTGTGAAACTAAATTTTTCTCTTGTAATTTCAATGTTGTCATGTTCTTCTCACTTCAACGATTCAATTATTGCCACTTCTTTTTTCAACATATTGCTCATTTTCTTATACTTTATTCATCCTTAATTCATTGTTGTTGTATTATATTTTTCTTTTTTTGTTTTTATTGTTCCTATTATATTTTTATTATAATGTTCAATTTTTTTTTTAATTTATAACGTTCTTATGTTTTTTATTTTTATATTCAAGTTATTTTATTATTTTCTATCATTGTACTTTGCTTCTTTCATTGGGTATTGTGTGAGATTACATACACTTGTAAGTTTGCTGAAGAACAAAACCTGAAAAATATCAGAAAAGAAAAAAAAGCCATAATAATAAAAAGAACAGCAAAGACAATAATACTTGATAAATTTTCGAAATTTTATTGTTATAAAAATAAAAAAGTTTTCTCTTTCTTGTTCTTATTTCTTATTTTATTTTCCAATTTAAGGATAAGTGAGTCCTATTAAGGGCATATGTAGGATACATTTTATATTTTGTATGTATTTATTATTTGTGGGTGGGTGTACATACATTAAATTATATTTAGATAATAAACAAAATTTGAAAATTAAAAAAGAATTTTTTATTTTTAGCTTTAACTAAAAATAAAATTTATGCAAATTATTCTAAACTTTATTTTTAAAATTTTTAAAAAAATTTAAGAGTTCTTTTATTATAATTATTATTAGTTGTCATAATATGAAGAGTTTTTAAATAAATAACTAGTTCTAACTGTGGTTAACGACGGACATATGTTCAATAAATATGTGCAATTAGAAAAGTGGTTTATATTTTGGATACGAACCGTGATATGGGTGTTTACTCATTATTTTAATAGGAAGCATCATAGATCTCGGATAACTTCAATTCCCTCCCAAATATTTTTGGACTCAAATACATACCTTATTACATATCTAATTTGAAAAAACATTTAATTTTCTACAGAAATAAAAGAGTGCGATATAGGAAATTACGTATTATAAGAGCTATTTATCTGTTCAAGAACAATAGAAGTTTTAATTAAAAAAATTTCAAGTCGGTCATTAAGGAAATATTTTTAAGTACTCATTCCAAACATAGGACATGCCAACAGAAACCAAAGTTCATGTAAATTATTCCTGATAAATTTATATTTTTAATATTTTATCACGATAGTTACATAATACATATGTACATGACGTATAGTAAGGCAAAAATATAGTTTGCCTTCATTACATCTTATAAAAACAAATTATATACACTTATATTGCAAAATATACTACTCGTATACATACAAAATTATGTTGAAATTTTCATATGAAAACTGTCATAAAAATAAATAAAAAATAAACTTGTTGTTTTAGGAAAAAGGGTGCCATATAAAAAGAACATGTTTTGAGTAAATTTATTTCAAATTTAAAACTTAAGTTCGTTTGCCTAATTTCAGGCATAATGTGAGATTCGTAAAAATTTTCTTATACTTATTTGAAATTCAACTTCATAATTATGTAGATGTTCTTAAAATTTTAGAAAAATTAAACAAACCTCTAAAATAATTTAATTTCGTATTAGTATCCAAAACATTACCCATATATTGTTTTCAACAATTGACCGATCGAATTCCATACAATAAGGGAGGTTATGTGGTGACACCAAATTTTGCGTATTGATTTTTCAGTTTAAATGCACTTTTCTAAATTGGAAAGTGTAAATAAATTTTAGCAAGATGTCGGTCTGTTGGTCTGTGGTGTTCTTGCGTATATCTCCAATTCGGCTGAACTGATGAGTTTATTTGCCGGTGTCAAGGATTGAATAAATTTTGTGATATATCGGGCTTCGAGAACTGGGCTTTTGTACAGCCGGACTAAATAGTTAAATGTTGACAGAACGTAGATCATATTATCTACTATGAAGGATTCAAGTATTGCATAAAATTGCGAAGCAGTCACAAAAATGTGTTTTCCCGTTTACTTTTTATATACATAACCAAACAATAACAAAATCAATATACTTTTTTTCGAATAGCAGTTAAAAAGCTTTTTATTGTAAAAACAATCAAAAATTTTGTGCAAAACTATAGTAAAGCAAACAAATATAGTGAAATTTATAGTTTTAGAGTCAAAGTTTTAAGATTTTTTTATTGTTACATGTAAAACGTGCTCTGATAAACAAATACAAAAAAAATTCATAATAAATAAAAAAAAATTTGCATAAAATCTAAATTTTATTTTTAGCTTTTGTAATTATGCGTAAATGCTCTTACATACGTATACCTATGAAACATTGCGTTAAGTCAAATTTTTGAACGTTAACTAAAGTATGCAATTATAGATTAAAAGGATATTTTTAGTTCACCACTTCACGATTCTAAGAAATACAGATCACAGAAACAGAAATTTTATTCAGCTAAATTCATCGAACTTGCGAAAGCAGATTATAAATAATAAATTACAGACAATTCTGAAAATCGAAAACGTGATTCCCGTAACTATCAAAAATTTTATATCTATGAAACTATTGAGTTTATAATTCTAAAATTTATATTAACATTAATATAGAAATGGGGCACAACAATTTAAACATAGGGCACAAGTTTAACACAAAATATAATAAGAACAAGGCTAGTCAATTATACTTATAGTGAAATTGAGGGTATGAATCCATATTACAGTTAAGTCTACTTTTACCAATATTCATTCGTGCAAATATATCCGATTTATTCTAAAAACTTTTTAAATTGCGAAAGTAATTGCTTGAACTGCTTACTTCCACAGTTGTTATTCAAACTCTTTTAAACATAGCATTATATAAGCTCAGACTGTATTAACTTTTAAATGCTTATCATATTTATTGATCTCTGGCTGTTTGTAAGTTCCTTTTACAACAGAAGGTTTGAAAACGTAAAAACTCAATAGGTCTTAAAAATTTTGAAACTTAATTTTTTTTCCATTTCATTATTTGTTTCGGTCAATAATATTTGCAACATGCCAAAATTCTTTTCATCTTTTAAAGTCTTGTTAAAAATAATTATTACATTTTAATTGTTCATCACAATTATTCTTAATTATCTAAACAATCTGCAAACGTCTCTACACTTTTGAGGATTTTGCAAAATTCAAAATAAATTTATAAAACTGTTATACTTATAGGCTACAGAATCTATATAATATTAGATGGGCTGAGTCAACATTCAGTTATTTAAAAGTATTGAAACCATTTTTCTTAAAATAAAAGTCTATATATGTGCATTCCCTATATTAACCCTTAAAATATATCGCCCGCAATTTTAAAATTATTTACACTTTCTTTAGCACGAACACTAAAGTTAAATGCATAATAAAATTACATCTAATTTCAATAAATTTCTTTGAATTGATTTAATTTACTGTAAATAATAGGTTATTAAAAACAAAATTATTACAAATAAATTATACATATATGTTGCATATATACATTAACATAGATATAGATTTACACAATCAGCGTGTTTAAAAATCACCATCAATTTCTTTCACATTAGTAAACTTATTGCTATACGAGTAGCTGTTTGTGATTGTTTTCAAAATTTTGCTAAGAATTTTTTTTTGCACTATTCATTTATAATTAATTATTCTATTAAGTATTATGAACATTTTCATTAATATTTCAAAGTTCATTAAGGCAAGTTTAGTTTATTTTAAAATCTTGAAAATTTGGTATACTTAGTAATTTGTATTTAATATAATTCTATTTTTACTATAAATTAAGGAAATACTTAAACAAATAAAATAGATAATTCAAACATTTTCTCTTTATCCAGTCATCATATATTTAATTGGATAATTTCCTAGATAATTGTCACAATTTCCACAATAATGGTTTGCTGTTCTACAGCCTTTTAGATAATATGGTAACGGAGCACAACACCATAGCCTATGGAAATGAAAACACGAGGATATATTAAAAAATTTTTATAGAAGATTAAATTGAAGCAAAGTGCATAGTGAAATTAAACCACATGTAATTATTGTTTACCACATGTTTGGGTCCTTAATAAATTTTTTGTATGACCCAAACACATCATTAAAAATGAATTGAGAAAAATATAATTTTAAAAATTTCACATAATTTTTGGTCCATTCTTTCTTTAAGTTAATCATAAATTAAATTAATTGTTCAATATTTTCTTCAAAAAAATTTTTAATTCATATTGAATTTATAAAGAACATTCAAAACGAACTATTAAAATTTACTAAAAAAATTTTTTAGAAAAAGAAACACAACGCGAGTACATAATTTCATTGTAGTTCAATTTTCTATACTTCACTTTAAATTTTATTCGTAATATTTATTACGAATTTTTCGCATACCCTAAAAAACACATCACTAAAGCAGATATGTGAGTTTTAAATCCGTCTTCATAAAATACTCTTGAAGGCATTTTTGAGCCGCAATCATTACAATCAACAATAACCGAACTTTGATCCAATGGTTGAAAGTCTAATTTGAAAAATGGGAAAAAAAATAATTTATTTTTTATCCTTAAATTTTTATTGTATCTTCTATAATCCTTGCATCTTGCAATGAAAAATTATTATAGTTACCTGCTCCAGCTGCTTGATGCATAAATGGTGGAGGTGCAGGTGATTTTGATTTACATTCTTCGAATTTATTCTTTTTATATTCATTTTCTATTGTATATAAAAAAATTGGGTCAGCAGTTGTGGTTTGTTCCTGAGGTGATGAATAACAACAATAAGATTTTTCTATTTTATCAGTAATTGGAGTTATGATGCCATTAAAGGGCATATTTTTTATTCGCTCGAATAATATCATTATTTTCCGAATTCATCAACTGTATAACATCAACTAAAGACTATATATACAAAAATAGTCTATTATAAATAATTTTATTTAGAATATATTATTTAAAATTTCTTTACTTAAAAGTTGTGCGCAATATATGAAAATAATAACATTGTTGGTGCATATAATAGTCAAGAATATTATATGAACCAGTTCCAAATTAAACAGAAAATTTGTTAGTATAAGTGAAGTTAAAATGATTGTATCTATGTTTTAGTACACATAATAAGAATATGTGTAAATATATGTATCACTAATTGTGTATAGTCATTATTCGATTCAATAACTGATTATTTTTGTTTTCGTTATTCAATCAACCACATATACACACATTCTAAAAAGAAAACAAATTTTCTATTAGAAAATTAAAATGACAGTGAATTGAATTGAAATTTTATCGATGAAAATTTATATTTCGACTTTAATAAACAACAAATAGTTTTTTTTTTTTAACATTCATGAAATAATATGGTAAGAGTATTGATTTTGTTACTTCAATTTTCAGACTTTTTATATTACTATTGGACTCAAATAACAAAATAAAGGAATTTCGGTTTTCTAGAAAATTTCATCAAAAATTTTCTTAAAAAAATAAAGGCGATTTCTAGATATTATTTCTGATATATTATTATCGTAAGGTTAAAAGTTTGATTGGAGATGAGGAATATACCTGCTTGACAAATTTAAAAAACTGACTAATCCAATTTTAATAACATTTCAAAGACACACCCAAATATCCAATTTTTATCCAAAAACCGCATATTTTGTCCTCTTTGGAATACTCATCAAACAAAGTACTGTACAAAAGCTTTTAAACCCCAACATCGGCTATGACTTCATTAAAATATGAACCAATTATCTGTTTATACTCTTTCGCTATCCTCAAAGCCATAAAATTTTGTGTGTTGTTAACCTGGTGTTATATTACAACTTTTGATATTACATTTTGTATTTTTTTTAATTCAAAATTCATTGTATATTAAATTTTGTTTTATTTAATATTTGACACCATTTTGTCTAACAAATTAATCAGAAAAAAGAAAAGCATAACACTTCATATTCCATTTAGTTGAAATAATTTTTTTTTTATTAGGTACTTATGTACTTGTAAATTTTTATTTATGAATATTTTTATGATAATAACATACAATATTTTATATGAGAATGACAAAAAAATTAACAATATACTTTACATTTACATGTATTTCTTCATACTATAGGATAAAATTCAATTTTTACTTTATATTCTCGTAAAATGTGCTTTGCATATTGTTATTATGTATGATTCATAATCGAACATGTTTTTGTATTATGCTGTTTGAGATAAAAGCTTTATGGTATTTTTTCTACTGTTTCGTTCCGAAAACGAGAAAGAGTCTACAATGTTTCAAATGCTAAGTTTTTAAAAAATTTTAAGATCTCATAATATTTATTAAATTTATTCAAAGGCGAATTATATCAGAGAGAAAATTATTTTTAATTCAAATGAAAATTTTGGTTCAAATTTTCTAATGGATATAATTCTGTTCATTCAAGTTTATTTCCCAAAAATGTGCATCTTAAAATTATAATATTATCAAGCAATATATAAAAATTAGCAGTTTTTAAGTGAAAAATTCCGAAAGCTTTTAACATGTAAAGCACAATTGTTTGGATATTGTTTAATAAGTTATTACTGTAGCTGCCATCGTGTATCTCTAAAAATATTATGTTTATATTAGAGAGTATATAAGAGTAAATTATATTAAACGAGTTTGTTAAGAAAGCGATTATAACGATAACATTTGGTCACAATTGTATAAGTTCTCACAATAATATAGAGCAAGAAACTTAACATTCAATGTAATCACAGACGAAAAATACACTAACCTAATAGATACTTCTAAGTTAGAGTCAATTTTAAAGAAAATATTATTAAAGTAACAAGAAATTTAAAATGTCACTTCATTTTTGGGTAAGATATTACTCACAATCGTTAAATATAATAATATTGTTGACAACATAAAGCATAATTACGTATAATATGTAAATAACTTATTCAAAATTATGACAAAAAGCGCACATTATAAGACACTGAATATAATTTAATAAGTCACATTTCATAAAATTACATTTTTATACTGTTATTTTTTCTACTCCTAATGACCTAATAAGGATAAAAAAAACACATATTAACGTAGAATAGTGAAAAAATTATAATATTTTTACTTACGCATTATCAACAACACCATTCCAACTTTCCTTATATTGAACATTCAATTACATTAGAGAAAAAGTGTTGACATGTAACGTATTAAATATATCAAAAATTATTAGCAAATTGAATATTAGTGCAGGAACGGCAGGCATTAGATATCGATTAAAAGGGATTAATTTTTGCACGTTTAAGTGCGCTTGTATAAAATAAATAAAGTGCGGTCTAACCAATGGGTTGTAATGCAGCCCTTTTCCCTTCAACAAATGAAAATACGGCTTTTAAAAACAATCTAGCGATCTACTACATTAATAAAATTACTTTCATTCATATACGAATATATTATAAAATTGCATACATTTAGGGTGAACAATTTATACAGTTTTTGAAATAAAGTAAAAAAAATTTAAAGAGGTGTTAATATAATGCTCGATTTTTAGAGTTAATTGCGTGAGTTAAGAAAAATAATTAAAATAAAAATGAAAACCCATATCAACTTTAAAAAAATTTTGAAGAAAAATAATGTGCTCTCCAGAATTTTCTTTAAATATTAGGAAAATTTTGTTTCCCGATACTTATTGAACACTTGGCGAACTTTCATTTGGAACTTGATTTATTCTAAAAATACAATGACGTTATAAAAGCAATTCAAATATTTAAGAATAAAAATCTCCTCAAAGTCTCATCGAGTCACACCTTGCTTTAACAAAAAAAAATACTCCTTAGATGACAAAATATCTCCATGTTTCATTATATATATATATATATATATATATATATATATATATATACACATATATATATATATATATATATAAATGGTATGTAACCACTCGAAAATACCTCTCAAGGACACAGAAAAAAAATAGAGAAAATCATATTAATTTCCATACATCTAAAATATCCACTCAATACATGATCCGCTTATTTCAATTTATTTTCATAAAGACCCTCAACTGAATTATTTTTTCACACTCTAAAAATTTTTGCGGAAAAAGCAGAAACTAATACTATTTTGGGAAGAAAATATTCGCTCAATTAGCGAGCGCTGATGAGCGGGAAATGTAGGCATAAAATAAATTAAAGAGCTTCTCTTTTATTGAAAAATCCCTACACATATTTTTCTCGAATGCTTTAAATTCTTAATTGTACAAATTACTGTGTGATTTTTTCAGCCTATACAGGCACTCAGATCTTCAAGTTTTATACCTTATTTAGTTCAACATAAGTTAAGCAGAGTTTGATACTTTTCGTTTTACACTCGTTCCATTGGGCCTGGGAGCCGATCGATCTTATCGCTTACAATATTAGAGGAATAGTAATGCTAAATTATACATTAACTTATAACAATAAAAAATTTCTTCAAATTTCCAAATATTGAAAAAACAAAGATATTATCTAGCAAGTATTTCAAAAAGTAAATTGGAAATTTAAATACTATTTTTCTGAGTGTATTTTATTTATTATAAAGGAAATATCAGTAGCAGAACATTAAAACATGACCATTTCTACTAGAGTTTAAAGCATGTATTTTAATTTTTGTTTTCGACTTTATTTTGAATTCTCAAAATATTCGTACTTTTTTTAATTTAAAAGCACACATTCCAATATGGCACCTAGTTCATTAATATCAATATTAAATTATATAAAAACAAGAAATACTTCCGATATTTTTTTAAATAAAATTTAAATAAATGTCACGTTATAGACCAAAAAACATTTGTTTAAGATTTTTAAAGTAGGATATAATATAGTACGAATGAATGTTCAATAAATTCTTTAGAAAACTCATTCATGAATATACAATGACAGAGGTTCAAGGAGCTTGTCAATAACATGTGTTTCCTCACTCTTTGCAAATTTACATGAAATATTTATTTAATGTGATAGAATATAAAAGGAAGTGAAGTTGTCGAAAAAATTTATATAATAATAGTAAAATGCCTGACGGTTATACTATTTGGCTAACAAAAATTTCTTTAAAAATCACCATTAAGTACATTTTTTTGCAATTTAAATTAATTGCACGTACTTTAAGACAATTTAGCTTAATAATAATATTAAAATATATTTCCTTTTCAGATAAGATGGTACTTGGAATAATAGAAAGAGAATAGAAAGGGAAGATTTAATATTGCATACTAATATTTATAGTAAAAGAATTTATTAAGATTGTGATTAAGAAAGTCTAAAAGAGTATCATGATTTTCTTTGTAAAAAATGTTCGTGAATCTTTAGGCTATGAAAGATATTACTTTACGATAACACTTAACATGACACTGCCTGAAAATAAAAAACAAAGAAATTGAATAAAACTTTTTAAAGATTTAAAAACAATTTTAAATAATCTTGTAACAAGCGTTGTCACAGAAAATCTGGGAAATTTCGCCTAGAAATCCAAAAAATCTGTTAAAAGCACCAGTTTATAATTAAATACTTTTATATTTAATTGTTATTGTCATATAACTTATGTTTATCAAAACCTATTCTTATTTTGCCAGCATCATTTCTTAAACTGGTTTACTAAATATCCCTCACAATACAGAAAAAAAAATTCCATAGAAAATACAATTTAAAGTTTTATCTCCAAATCTGATCCAGGAATTCAACAATT